TACCAATTTTTTTTTTTTTTTGGTCCTTAGAAATATATTGTCCATTAACCATTATCTTGAGCAGGGCCTGGGCTGGCTGGGGTGGGGTGAGGGGCCTGGGCTGCCAGCCCCCTTTCTCTGCTACAGAAACGGGGTGCAGAGCAGGGCCCTCCTCCTGGCTGTCCAAATTGGGGAGGGGAGAGGGTGGCGCCCTCTGCTGGACCCTTCGCAGGGCCCAGGCTGTTCCTGGACAAGGCACATGGGGCTCTGGCCTGGGTGTGGGAGGCCTCGAAGGGATGGGGTGTGGAGGGGCATCCCCAGGGCACAGAGGGGACCTGCTTTGTTGTGGGGATCCACTATCCCCTCCGCACAGGTTAAAAAAAACCAGAACACATCATATACACCTACCGGACCGGAAGCACTGACGCCTGCCTGGAGGCAGGGGAAGAACCTCCTGGCCACCCAACAGCGAGGAGAGAGCCCGCCCCAGCCCTGCGCTGCCACCACCCACCCCCAGAGGACTGACAGAGAGTGCTTTGCATAGATACAGAGTCGGAGGAATCGGGGCTGTGGAGGCCCACGCTGCGGGGAGGGGCAGAGGCTGCCGGGCCCCTCCCGGAGGCCGTGAGGAGGGGTGTTTGGTCCGGGTCTCTCTGGGGGCCTCACAGGTCGCTCTCGCCGTACAGGGCCGTGGAGAAGGACTTGTAGTCGAGGGCACCGGGCACGGCGTCGGGGCCCTGGTACGGCGCCATGCGGGCGATGCAGTACTCGGCCTGGTCCGGGGGCAGCTCTCGCCGCAGCTCCTCAGCCGTGATGAAGTTCTGGGGGCGGCAGGCAGGACTCTGAGCTGCCCCCGCCCACACGCTGACCCAGCCCCTCACACCCATCTAGCTGCGATGCCTGCTGTGGGGACCCCTCCAACTGGCCCCTGTGTGCCTCAGAGGGGCCTGGCTCACCTTGTCCCCTGCCAGGACCTTGAAGGAGGCGATGACCTGGTCGGCCGTGTCTGTGTCAGTCGTCTCCCGAGACATGAAGTCGATGAAGGCTTGGAAGGTCACAAGGCCGCTGTGGTTGGGGTCGACCACGCTCATGATGCGGTTGAACTCGGCATCGCCCTGCGAGGTGGGGGTGGGGGCAGAGGGCACAGCGTTGGGTGGGGCAGCCAGGCCCACGCCGGTGGAGTCTCACGGGAAAGCAGCCAGGAGAGCAGGGCCCACCCTCGCACACCCCTGCCCTGTGTCACCAGCCCGCCTCCAGTGGCCTGAGCCCGGGGCAGAGCCCGGGCTGCTCTGGCTCCCCCAGGCCGAGGGGCAGGCCCCTCTGCATCCTGCCCGCCCACAGTCTCGAATAGTGGGGAGTTGGGGTCTACTGCCCCTCAGTGCAGGCGTACAACTTAGCTCTGGAGGATGGGGAAGAGAGAGAGAAAAGAAAGAAAAGGGGCAGAGCACAAGAGGGCTGTCCCCTCTCTAGGGAAGGAAGAGGGGCTCTAGGAGTCATCGGAGGGACCCCAGCCCAGCGGGTGCAGCAGAGGAGGAGGCAGGCAAGGCCTGCTGCCCGGGTGGAGGAGTGTCCCCAGGACACGGAAGCTCTGGAGGCGTGAGCGGGAAGGGGTGGGGGGAGGAGGAGGAAGGGGGAGAGGAAGAAAGGAGGAGTTGTTGGAGCGGCCGGGGAGGCAGAGGCGGCATACCAGGCTGTATCCTGTGGAGATAAGCAGAGCCCTGAAGTCATCGGAGTCCATGCTGCCTGTCTGCTTCTGCTCCGAGGACGCAGGCATAGCAGAGGAGGCCGGGCCCAGAGTAGGCAAGAGGGGCCGCCCCACGTGCACAGCGGGCAGACAGGACAGTGGCAGGGAGCGGGGAAGACAGAGGCCCCGAGAGACCAGGTAAGGGGGAAGGTGTCCAGAGAGACACGGGCAGGGAGGCGGCAAGAGCGCCAGGAAATGGCACACAGGATGGCAGGGGTGGAACGGCAAGAGGGAGGGGAGGGGGAGAGAGAGAGAAGAGCAGTTAATGCAGAGTCCGCTGGGGCCCAGGGGGGCGTACCTGCCGGTCGTTCTCCACGTCGTAGCCCAGGCTGATGAGGCAGGCCTTGAACTCCTCGGGCCCCAGCGCCCCGCCATGGTCCTGCCGGGCCATCCGCAGGCAGGTGTGTGGGAGGGGAGGTGTGGAGACCAGGACGAGGGGCCAGGGCCACATGCAGAGGGCAGGGGGGAAGGGAATACGGGGGTGGGGGGAACACAGAGTTAGAGGCGACGTGGACAAGGTGGTGATCGGGACAGATGGGGCAGGTGGCAGCGAGGGCCCTTTCATGCTGCCCTCTGTCCGGCAGAGGCCTCCCTCGCCAGGACTCTGGGGGACCAAGGGGCTCTTTTCTTCGGGGTTTGAGGTATGAGAGGGGACTATACCCCGTCCCGTGGGGACCTTAGGGCTGCCTGATGCTGCACGTTCCTACCTACCAAAGCCAGGCAGGTGACACGACAGCCCAGCGGGGGTGGGGGCTGGGGCAAACCCTGGTGCTCAGGGACCCCTAAAGGGGCTGCGAGACGAAATCTGAGCTCTAAAGCTGTGAGTGTGTGAGTGTGTGGACAGATCCCAGGGGTGCTGGACTCAGTTTCAGGGTCTCAGCGGCAGGCACACAAGGACGCAGCCCGAGAGGGCAGGACCTGGGGTCAAGGTTCTGCACAGATGCGAAGACAGAGGGGAGCGAGATGGGACGGTTCGACGGGGAGGGAAGATGCCCACGAGGCAGACGGAGCTACTCACCTTGTCGAAGTGGTTGAAGGACGCCCGGAACTCCTGCATCTGCTCCTGGCTGATGCCCTTGGCGTCCCGGGTGAGGATCTGGTTCTCCACCTCGTTGATGGTGCGGGCGATGGTGGTGAGCAGCTGCTCCCAGCCCACGCGGAGGTGCTGGGGGAGGAGAGGGGTGTGACCGTGGGCCAGGCAGGGGTGGCTGTGCTGGCCTGTCCTCGCCGTGGAGGAGGGCAGGGAGGGGACCTGTGGCAGGCCTGCTCTGAGGACCCTCTTCCAAGGGCCACTCCAGACCCCCACTCTCCTGTACACCCCAACTGCATATGGGGGACACAGCCCTGGTGGTCTCTGCAGCATGTGTCCCAGGGACGATGCATCGGGGGGCACGGACCCAAGATGCTTGTGCCAGGATCCACATGGAAACTTTTTAGAGGCGTGTTGCTCATGTTTAACAACTGGCCTTCTAGGGAAGAAACAAAAACACAGCTCTGGCCTGTGGTAGCCGCGGGTTTGCACGGCGTAAACACTCTCGCCGTGGAGGATTTCGAGTTACGACTGTGCTACCGGCTCAAGAGATCCCTCGGCGAGCTGGGGTGCCGACCTGGCACACACCAGCAGGGGCTGGGCCTCAAGCGAGGCTGTTACTGCCTCGCCCACAGGGGACAAATGTCAGCCCTCCCTAGTAATGTCCCCGGGAAAGCTTGTTGCACGGTGAGACCCCGTTGCGGCCGGGCCCACCTCCATGGTGTAGTTGGTGTGCTTGTTGTCGAAGATGAGGGCCTCCTGGATGAGCTGGTGCTGCTGCTCCAGCAGGTCCAGGTTGGGCTTGTAGTCCACGATGCTGCGCTCGTACTGCTTCAGGTGGCTCAGCTGGTCCTCCAGGGTCCCATTCATCTCGATAGAGATGCGCCCGATCTCCTAGAGAGGGCGGGTGCCACCGGGCAGGGTGAGGCCGGTGACCCTCTGCCACCCCTGGCCACTCTGAGGCCTCACTTGCTGCTGGCCCGCCCTCCCCCCTGCCAGGGGCCCCTCCAGCCTGGGGCCTTTGCCCGTGGGTCCCCTGGGCAGGAGGGCCCATCCCGTCCCGTCCCGTCCCGTCCTGCCCTCTCGTGTGAAAGCAGCCATGACGGGGAATCTTTCTGTGCCAAGAGCGCCACAGGCCCAGCCTCACTGTACCTTTGACCTCTCTGTGAGGCTCAGGACTGTGACAGGCCCTGACTGCAGATGTGACAACTGAGGCTGCAGGAAGGCAACTGGTCACAGTAAGAGGCAGAGTCGAGATTTGAAGCCAGCCTGGCTGACCTCAGAACCTGGGGCTCCTGCCCACACGCACCCCAGGCCCTCAGCTACCCGCAGCCGCACACGCCGCACAGCCAGCACTGAACCTCGAGGCGGGCCTGCGTGGCACCTGCTGTCCCCCTCACGGGCTTGAGTTTATACGAGGACCCTTGCCGCCAGCGAGGTACCGGGCATGTCGTGCGCACTCAGGAAGTGCAGCCAGGGCTGCTATCGGCAGCATTACAAACCCTCCCGTGGCTGGGGCACAAGGGTCCCCAGTGAGCATGCTAAGGGCATCCGAACTCGGCTGTCTTGTTCACCAGAACACAGCAGCGCTCACGACGGGGCCGGCACAGAGCGGCACGCAAAATGCATTTGTTGAGGGAATAAAGTAACTATTTTCATTCCCAGCGTAGAGATGAGAAAACTGTAGATCAGAGGTCACACTGTGCTCGAGGCTGACGATCATCAGCCCGGGCAGAGCCAGGCTCGACGTGTCCATCCGGCTCTTCAGCCAACTCTCTCTCTGGTCAGCACTGCGACTTCCATCAGTATGATCTTGCTGACCCTCCTAACCCCTCAAGGAGATAAGATTGGCCCCGGGCCCGCTGGGCTCCTCCTCCCCAAGGGAGCTCACCGGGAGCTCCTGCTCGGCCCTGGCCCGGGTGCCTCACCTCCATCTTGTTCTGGATCCAGGGCCCCACGACGTTGGCCTGGCTGGAGAACTGGCGGCGGAGGTGCTCATTGGACTGCTGCTTGCTCTGCTCTTCCAGGAGGGCGTGGTCCCGCTTTGGCACCAGCTGCTGCACCTGGTGGGGACGGGACGCAGAGCAAGAGCGGTCAGGGTGGCAGCCCCCCAGCCTGGCCAGCCCTCCCCAGTCCCCTCCCGACGGGCCCCAGCCTACCTTCTCCCACTTAGAGTTGATGATCT